TGGCGTTCTGCAATCCTTGGGCATTGTCAATCCAATGCGACTTCGTCTTCCAATCATGTGAGCCAGCAACATTCACTTCGTTGTGCACATGCCTCCTTACGCCATCTGCAACAACACTTTGCCATTATCCCTGTGGACAAATCATCCCACAATTTGGCAATTTGTTGCAAGAATTGGTATTTGTTTCACCTCTCTACCCATTTGGACAGTCCCACTTATACTCGTCCTCATGAATCCGTTGCTGATGTGCTCAACCACCATGCACTATGGAATCACCATTGGGGTTATACCCACACTGATACCCTGCCTTACCTATACTATGTGTTGAAAGCCCACAAGTCTCCTCCAGCTCTTCGCAGCATTCTTGGAGTCACAGCATAGAATACTTGTCCTGTCCCCCCACGCACTCGCTCTCGTCCTTCWATTCGCACCATTCATGAACGGCCTCCTCACAAACCCTTGGCTAGCACAAYGGCTACTTCGTTCTGTCTCAGCACTGCTTTGCAAGGCGTGATCTCTACTCTTCGTGAGAAAGACACTGAGCTCTATCAACAGGAAGGTGTTCGACGGTGCTGGATCGTGCAGAGTGCCGATGAGGTGGCGATTGACCTGAAAAACAATGTGTCCTCTCTACGTGGCCTCTCTCCTCGCACGGTTGATTTCACCACAATGTACACCAACCTTCCTCATGACCGCATTTTGAATAATGTGGCAAAGGCTGTTGATGAAGCTCATGCTTATGCTCTTCAGCATACCCGCATCCATTCGCGCTGCAGAGCCTTGAACATGTTTATTTGCGGGCCTTGCTCTGGCCAATAGACAACCGATTCAGGACCAGACAACCTTTCCGTTTCTCAGATTCTCCAACATCTTTGCTTTGTTGTAGAAAACACTTTTCTGTACACTAGAGATGGCACTCTTCGAAAGCAAATCATTGGTATTCCAATGGGAACAAATGCTGGCCCAGAAATCTCCAATCTAACGCTCTATTGGGATGAAGCACGCTTTATTGATGATATTCGTCAACTTGATCCCCAAACTGCTCAGCGATACGCCTTCACTTACCGCCTCATTGATGATGTTCTTTCATGGGGGCAATTACCTCCTCCTTCAGAGCACTATGGGCTCGAGTGGAAGGAAACTACGGCCACAGATGGATCGTGTACCTTTGTAGGTATGCATCTACAGGTACGTTCTGATGGTTCGCTTCGCATGAGCGTGTTTGATAAAGCGGCTGCTTGGGATTTCCCTGTTATTCGCTATCCAAGTGCTACCTCCAACATCCCTTCCCATCAACCGCCAGGTGTGTTCACTGGGCAATTGACCAGATTTGAACGCATCTGCAATAATTGGCAGGACTTCCGAACTGCAGCGACAACACTCAATCGTCGCATGATTTCTCGTGGCCATTCCCCACCAACCCTCGCTAAAGGATGAACCTGCTACACACGCTCCAGCCAACGTCGCTATCCTACACACGTCACCCGTCTCTCTCAGTGGTTCCGACGCATGTTGCGATGGTCCTTGCATCACCCACTTTCTTTTTTATCCCCACATCGCCCTCGTCCTGTCACTGCTTGTTCATCTGCTGCTAATGCAGTTCCCACTGTTGCGGTTCCCACCGCCGCCGCTTCCACCG